CCAAGATCTCTCTTACGCCTAGCCCTGCACCTAAGCTGTTCACTTGGCACTCTCTGGTGACCTTTTTAGCTCACTCAGTTAGAGCGTCTAGCACACATGGAAACATTTATGTGGCTATATATTATACATATGAAATATTTAACAAATGTTATTTTTTGTTGCAGTGACAACAATGTAGTTCGAGCTTGGCGGTGCAGAGCTCCGGCCTGCACCGCCAAAGTAAGAGAAGACAGGAGGGGGGAGGGTTTCAACTAACAGCCCTGCATAACCATCCCCCAGTATGTACACCTGTTTGAAAATTTTAAAATATAACGTTACACTTACAGATGAAGGAGTAATATTTCACGAATTATGCTTTATAAATATTCATATTCAGACCAATTGACATTCAGGTTTTACTACTGTCATCAAGTTCCATAAACTCCTTGAAACACTGTCTAATAAGTAAAGAGATATCAAAGTAACAAGGCAACTTTAAATTAAATCTGTAGTGTACATGTCATTCAAAATTCACTGTACAAGTTTCAAAAGGAGTTTATAAACACTGCCTCATAAGTAGGAAAGTATACAGTGTGCAACAAGATAACTCAAACCTTGACATGTTCCCCCCACCCCACCCCACCCCACCCCAGAAAGAGTGCAGAGAGTGCCAAGGACTGAAAGGAACCATCGCGCAGCAGGCGGCTGCTCAGGAGGGCATCAAGGCTGAACTGCAGCTGCGCAATGTGAGTATGGAGAGTTAGTAGGCTAGAACACCTGTTTCAAATGTTATTGCTGCCAAGTTATAACATAAATGTCAGTGTAGTGCCCAGGAGGTACTACTACTACCGGTAGTACTGGGGTCACATTGTTATTTGAACAAGCATGTCTCCACCAAATATACCACACACTGTCTCTTGTCACGTGATTATCCCATCAAGTGACGTGACAAGAGAACTCCAAGACGAGATCTTAATCGGGTTGATGAAGAGACAGAGTGCATCTCGAAAGCTCCCCAGCATAGCTGAACTTTTGTTGTGTGTACTTGTATAAATATTTCGTCAAAAGTATACCACACATTGTCATATATTGGATATATTCAGGGCAGGTGTAGTTCAAGGCAGACCACTCAGCAACTGACTTGGACAAGCCAAATGGACAAGTTTTGACCAACACTGTTCATTTCTTCCCCAGTCCCAGATAGAGACGACCAATACTGCCCAAAAGAGACTTCAAGCAAAGCTCAAGGTATGGACTAGTGATTTACAGTTGTGAATTTCATCTCTTTATGCCTTATCCAAGCATATGGCAAAACATTGCAATTTGAACCCTACATTTAGGCTTCTCTGTTTGTAAAATGCACAACAGAGTCAGTACCACTTTTCATACCAGCATGTATGAGTGCCTATTAATTATGGAATTTCACAAAACCTTTGCTCACAGGGCAATATCAATATCACACTTCTATGTTGTATATGGGACATGGGAAATGTTGGAAAATTGCTTAGATCAAAGACCAAACATGACCACGTCTGACCCACCGACTCTTGTGTTATTTTCTGACAGAAACTGGAAACAGCAAATGACAAGCTGCAGAACAAGATCCTCCGTCTGGAGACGGAGCTGGCCATCCAGGCCAAGAAGATGGCGGAGACACAGGACCGCGAGCAGAGCGGGAAGGATCGGGAGATCCAGACCCTTCAGCGCCAACTACGGGAGAAAACACTGGAGATCAATAAGCTGAAGTCCCAACCTCCGCAGGTACGACATTGTTAAATAATTGAACGTTGATTCTATTTTTTACTGGCATGAAGTTTCAACTGTTGGTCCATGCAAGCAGAAATCACTCAGCTTGAGTCTGAGAGTCAAGAACAACTTAAGAAGGTAAGGAATGAAGTGCAGAAGTGGAAATTGGAGATTTCTGATAGATCTGTGTTTTCCCCATAAAATGGAGTCAAAGTGCACTCCAAAATCCATTCCAAAAGCCTGTACCTAATAGTAATGGATGTTGTACTACGATCTATGGATGGATTGAGAAACCATTGCACCAGTCAGGATAAAAACAAAATGTAATCTACACAATGTAAATGTAGTTGGAAGGAAAAAATTATGATCATTGAAAAATTATACTCTTCACCTCTGTAGAAATGTTCTCACATGAATCTTTGACTGTGTTGGATGATTCTGTTGAACCATCGGAGCCTATCCTTTCATTTTGGTTTTTAACACCTGGTCTTCACCTGTGGTATTTCGGCAGGTGCGGTCACTGGAGGCCCAGGTAGACCTGGCCAATCGTCAGCTCCGTCAGCAGAAACAAGAGGCCAGCTTCGTCACCCCCGCTGCACGCAGCCTCAACACCAGCGCAGACAGCATCAAGGACACTGCTGGTACGGATTACTGTACATCTTGGCATATATGTGGGTAACTGGTGCTGTAGAAGACATGTACCCTGTGATGTTGGATTACATTATGTAGCGTGCCCTAGACATAGTGCCCCTACAGTCTCAAGAAGGCTTTGGAACTACATGTGTTTCACTAGCAGGAATTGTTTTGTTGTCCCCTGCTAAGGGAAGTCATGTTTTGAAAGGCATTGATTGGTTATTTAAATTGTGATTGAATAGAAGTATGCAATGGTCTTCTTTGCCTACATTCTGCTGGATAATGACAATATATCAATTTCTGATGTCTACAAACTTGTGCGTTCTGTTGGCATCACAGCAGCAGCTCCGAGGTTCTTTGTGTCAGAGTGCTATCCCACAGAGACTCAGGTAGAGTATGCACTTCTATGTAAGGTGATCATGTATGCTTCAATAGTGTTCATAGTTCAGTGTTTGATGAGCCTTGATCTGTACCAAGAGGTTGTGAGTATCTGTATCTGTATAGCCGGTATAACCGCCTTTCGCAGCGCGGCGACAGCTGGCTACATTATACCGATCGGCTTTTTACACCTACCCCTTGAACATCTAACTCTAGACATTGTTTAAAGCTATCTAATGACAATGCCCCTACTGTACTTGGTGACAGCGAGTTCCACTCTGCGACAGTTCTAGGAAAGAATGAATTCTTGAACGCCTCAATCCTTCATTGGTTGATAACTCTGGTACTTGAAGGCATGGCCTTCTTGTTCTCTTCTGGGCTGGTATTAGGTACTTAGTAATTGAATATAAGTTTGAATCCCCGCTGTTGCTCACCCGAAAGATTCACTGTTCTTAGGATGGGATGTTAAAATGTAGCCTTCTGTTCACTGTACTTGAAAAGAGATAAGGGAATTTGCCTTTTATAGTGATCATGTAAATACTGTATATACATGTAGTGTCTGTCTTCTCTCTTTCATGGCCAGGGGAAGAGTAGCTCAACCGTTCATTGCCTTTATTGGGTTAAACTGATCCAAAATTACTTTCGATAAGATTATCAAGCAATTTTGATGTTAATTTTTTAATGGTTTCTCTGGTCCTTGAATGAAATTTGGAATTGCATTACTTGAAAAGTCCCTCCTCCCAAAACTTTTTGGTATACCTCTTGAGGTACCATAGTCTTGAGGTACCACAGTTTTAACTCTTTATGTACTATAGTCTTGACTCTTTAGGTACCAAAGTCTAATCCCATTGAACAACTTATACCTAGACTTCAACTTATACCTAGGACCATGTGAAAAGAATGATAATGAAACAGTCATACTATAATACTCTTACTAATTAATACTTGTATGTTCACCTTATGTGCCCAGAACAAGTCGAAGCGGTCAGGATCAGCAAACACCCCAGTTGCCATGCCCAGTCCTGCGGTGCCCAACATGATGGCTGTACTGAAGGACGTGAAGCCGCGCTCCGTGGAGAGGTGAGTCCATACTTAGTTAAACCCAGTGTCTCTCACTCACTTTCTATTATATCCTCATTTTTCAAAGTTAGACATTCATACAGTCCTTTATTCCAAGACAAGCAACCTTAGAAAGAACAAGATTGACATGAAAGACTGGTTTACCAAGTTTTGTGTGTTCACACTAGTTTATGGGAAATTTTCCTTTAGATTAACTCAGTGTGGTCTTTTGAATTTCTGCAACCTTGTGTCCAGTGTTTTCAGGTTCTTCAGAACCCCCATACTGACCCTTAGCCTTGTTCGCAGGTCCCCCGGAGGCACGCCCATCAGACAGAAGCCTAAAGAGTCTAATGTGCAGGACCTGGCCGCGCGCATCGCCCAGGCTCTGCGGAGGAAGTTCGCCCACAGGAAACAGATCGTGTCACCTGACCAGCTGGACAAAGAAAATGATTGGCCGTTCCCGGAGACGAGTGGCAGCCCGAAGGTTCGTTCATCATCGTTAGTGCTACTGTCTTTAATTATCGTCATACAGTAACAGTTCATAAATATTACAATGTTTCCAATTGAAATTAACATGCTGTTGTAAGTTTTTAGATTTGTAAATGAACTGCATGAAGCAAGAAAAGTTTTATTTTATGGCACGTCTTTGAGTGTGTGTGTGTCTGCCCGTGTGAATGTTTGTGTGTGTGTGTGTGTCTGCAATTTCGATAGCGCACAAGACAATACCACATTGCCACACATCCTCACAGTACTGCTATTTTTATCTGTTGGACCGAAAGGAGTGTGGGTAAGGGGTAAAGTCTACCTGGATCTGATTGCCTCGTAAGTTCGTACCATTTGTTTGTTTGTTTGTACAGTTTGGCTGTGCGCTTCTAAAGCCTGTGCAGAGGAGAAGCAGCCACAGCACCTATCGTTCCAGACTCCACTCTGCACCCTCCGCTGTACAGCCACGTACACGACCAGAGAGATCAGCATCAGACGCATCTGCCACAGTTTGGAGTTCCAGGCGGACAGAAAGCGGCTCCACAGTCCGGTGGGTGCATCTGGTGTAGCAACGTCTTCGTCCGTCAGACTAGTGGTTTCTTCCATCAGAGAAGTGGGTTCCATCGTCTAAAAAGGACGTCTTCTGTGAAAGGCACAGAAAGTTGAATTTATGTGAATCTCAATGAAACCTAACACTGCCCTAAAACTTCAGTGCCATATGCCATGAATGTAAATAAGTAAATTACATCCTGTATACAATGACCTTTAGGTCATGGGCAAATAGCTGGTAGCTTTTAACATATAAGCTCCTAAGTTACAGAGAAAAATATTGTGTTTTGAACTGAACCAAATTTAAAGAGGCAAAATTGTTATTTCAAAATCCTAGTTAATGATTTTCATGCTTGTTTTTTGTACCTAAACCGATCAGGAACCCTTTTTTACGTCTTTTTACCTAGGGGGGTGGGGGGTGCGGAAGCACTTACCTTGTATATATAAAAAAATCCAGCATCCAGCACATCCAATCCTTCGAAAGATGTTGAGACTAAATGTCCAGCCAGACTGTCATGTGTACAAGGATCACCAGAAACCGCCTGTAACCATGGAAACTGTATCCATGGAAATCGCCCTGTAACCATGGTTCTCGTTGCTTGTATGAACGACTAGTTTTGTTCCCTCGTTTTAGGAGTATAAAAAAGAAGAGAGAGAAAATTGAGGCTGAATTGTAACCTATCTCTATCAATGTCTATATTAAACGTTATAACACCCTTATAATAAGTTATATCTGACATTTTATACGTTAACTGTTAATGTTTTTATTGTATGAATAAAGTTGCCAAACTGAACGATGGTCTCGCCTCGATCATGTGATGGCGTGTCTCCCTGCTTTATGAAGCTACGACGCTGCACCTTGGATCCGGCTACAGTATAACCAGGCACAAATGTGCTGACGTCTCCCTCTTGACGTATCGTTGGCAGTGATAAAACGGCACAGGTGTAATACAACTCACATTTCTCACTCCACAACTGGAAATAGGACAGCAGCCGACGATTATGCCCTGTAGATGGATCCTTCGAAAGATGTTGAGACTAAATGTCCAGCCAGACTGTCATGTGTACAAGGATCACCAGAAACCGCCTGTAACCATGGAAACTGTATCCATGGAAATCGCCCTGTAACCATGGTTCTCGTTGCTTGTATGAACGACTAGTTTTGTTCCCTCGTTTTAGGAGTATAAAAAAGAAGAGAGAAAATTGAGGCTGACCTATCTCTATCAAAAACACTTTGTCTATATTAAACGTTATAACACCCTTATAATAAGTTATATCTGACATTTTATACGTTAACTGTTTTTATTGTATGAATAAAGTTGCCAAACTGAACGATGGTCTCGCAAAACTAGTCCCCAAACAAGGATTAGCTGGTCTCCTTAAAACATCACAATCTGCAGTAGGCCTAAATCAACAAGTCCGTTGCCCCCCTCCCCCTTAGTCTAGAGCAGCATCATTCCAGTTCTATCCCATCGTCACACCCTAAACGTCACTTTCATCCAAACAGCTGCCGTTAATTTATCTCTTTATTTCCCTGTCTTAGCTCCGGTATCACTTATTTTTAGCAAAAATCTGCAGACTTAAGCTTAAACAAAGAAATATTAAACAGGTTTACCGAATATGAAGGTTACCGAGTCTAATACGCAGTGATCGCTTGCACTTTTCATCCGGACTGCTAGAGGCTAAAATTGTCTAAAAGTCACGTCTTTTGTGTCCAGAATCCTGATACTTCTTTAGACATCCCTACAAGATCCATAATACTATCATGAAAATTCATTGGTGTTGGCAGTTACATGTTTAGAGTTAAAGCTTTAGATCCACCACAAAAAGTTCCCTCACGTAGAGCTTTCGATCGGTCTACAGAGGAAGACCAGAGTGTCTTGTCGAAAGCTCTAGGTGAGAGAACGTTCTGTGTTGGATCTAAAGCTTAAACTCTAAACAAGATCCATAATAGTAAAGATTTTTGGTACATAGACAGGTTTGTGTAAGAGAATTCTGCATGAAATATCAATGATTCTAAAAGCAAGTCTCATTGACTTAAATCTTGTTTGAACATCTCTAATAGGTGTATCGCAAATGCTGTTTGCTAGGTATTCCTTCAGTATAATATTTGTTATGGTCCATTGAGAAGTTCTGGGAAAACTCTAGAAGGTGGCACACCCATAAGGGACTGGTAAAGCCTGGCCCAGAATGCAGGAGGGATCAGGGGCGCATTGGTTTCATTCTATCGTGTCATCGGCTAGATTTCAGTACAGGCCTGACAGCAAATTTTGGGGTTGAGTTTTTTACGACAGGCCTGGATTTCAGTTTACCCACTCACACAGGGATAGCCACATGTCCGGAGAGTTCTATGGTCAATTATATCCAATTATTGGTGTGGATTAGCATCATTCAGGGAGCAGTAAAATCTCAATTTCAAACATAGATGGTAGAAATAGGAGTACTGTATAACGTCATTAATTTGTCTTGGTGTAGATTTTACTTGTGAGTGGAATATTTAGATTCTGGGTCAGAAGAATACCCAAAGAAAATGTTAAACAATTTCAAATTTTCAGTTATATTTCTGCTTTTCTTTTAGTGATGTATTCCATACATTATCATAAGGTTCAATTTCTTGATCTCTATTAAATCGTAATATTGCAGAATATAGCAAGTAGTCCATTGATTTAAAGAAGAAGGAAAGAAAAGACGATTTCTTGTCAGACTTTTGGACAGGAAGCTAGTAGGACAAATGTCCAGTGCAGAATGTGGTGCGGATTAGCCAAGCTGTGGCCCTTAAATTATGACAAAACCTACACAGCTGTTCTCCATTCCTTTCATCTGCGTCATA